TTTCAAAAATTTAGTACTCCTTCTTAGGGTGTTCACGGGTCGGTTTGGATCAGTTATTGGTCAAAACAAAAACCAAAATCAAACCAACTTAATCGGTTTTAAAATTATCAAAATCAAACCAAATCAAACCAAATATAATATACATTTATCGGTTTGGTGGTTATTGGTTTCGGTTTGGTTTGGTTCGGCTATTAACCATACACATAAATAAAATAAACAATTCATTCAAAATGTGAAAAAAGTGACAACAATCCATTCAAAACGAAAAAATAGTTAGAATGACTTAAATTACTGAACTTTCGATCACTAAATTTACTATCAATAAAACTTTTAAATTCACTATATTGGCCTAGAGACAATAACATTTTTAATCCCACAAAAAATTGTCATAGACACTCATATACATGAAATCAATAAGATAAATGTTTTCATCTTGGACATTTTTGCTTTCAATAAGTAAATTATAAATAAATTTTAATGAAAATATATGTAAGATCTTTAAAGTTGTTTATAAAAACAATATATTAAGTATGTATATTAATAAAATATATGTATATAATTCATCAGTTCGGTTATTTTTTTGATTTTTTCGAATAAAACCATAATCAAACCAAATACTATTAGTTTTCAAAAATCTCAAACCAAACCAAATCAAACCCAAATAAAATCGATTTTATTTTATCGATTTGGTTCGATTTTTCGGTTTGAATCGATTTTTATCCAAACCGTGAACACCCCTACAGTCCTTCTATTCCATATTAACTTAATTTTTGAGGTTTTTTATTTGTTCAAAATAATTGAATTATTCAAAGTTTAAGTGGGATGTTTGAATTTTTTTTTTATATCTGTCCTTTCATTTATTGAAGTTTTATGTATTCTGGAAAATAAATTGTACAACTTATAAAATTATATTTATAATTTCACATAAAGTAATAGTGAAAATTATGGTTTAAAGTATGCCTTGAAATTATTTTCTTAATAGTTGTGCATTGTGTCACAAGTTCAGTTAATATGAAATAAAGTAATTTTCATAACCAAACAGTTCCTTAGTGAAGTGGATTTGCCCCTGTTTTTTTACCCCGCATGTCACCCCACTAGCGACCATCCATCGACTCAGCTTTACTTTGTCGCCATCAACGAGATACAGTTCGCCGGAATCATGTGCCATCTCCGGCAATTCATTTGCTTCATCTTACTTGCTTTCGCTCTCTACACTTCTCTTCAGGTAAAACCATCATAAAAAAGTGAACAATACAGTCGGCTTTTGCTTGTTGTAATGTTAAACCCTAACTTATTTGATACCATTCTTTACAGGCTCAGGTTCAGGCTCAGGAAAATCTCTCCTTAACAACCAGACCCACTTCCCCTTTCTCGATCTCACTCGAAACCCTTCAAAATCAAATCCAGTAAATTTCTCCGACTGATTTTATTATTTTTTTAGTTGTTCCGTTTAGTTAACCAAATCCTGGTTGAAGTTTGAGTTTCTGCGTATAAATACGTTTGCATTTAGGTACACATTTCAGGATGTGGAGTTACTACGACGTGCCCTGACGCATGCATCATACTCAGGAGAGAACAACAGAGCTTTGAGCGTTTTGGGAGAGAAGGTAATTGAAGGTTCGGTGTCTCTGCAATTGCTTAGCAAGGACATCGATATATCACCCAAGGATCTCAGCCGGGTTATTATGGATCTGTCTTCCAATGTGGTGACATCATGCGCTGCTGACGGAGGGCGCTTAGGTTTGCAGAAGATAATCAGGGTTTCTAGGAAGACCAATTCGTCGGCTCCTGCAGTGGTTTGTGGTGCTTTCCGGGCAATGTTCGGAGCAATTGCGATTGACAAGAGTAACTTGGACAGTGCGGGGAAGGTATTCTTGACAATTCATGGGAAAGGCATGCAGAAAGCTATGGCAATGTAAGTATTCAACCGATGTTGATATATTTCTAGTCAGAGGGAACTTTGTGTATTAGTATGTGTTGAAGAGTATCCACTCTGTTTTTAGCTTTGTATGCGCTGTGTAACTAATTGACTTTGTAAGACTTAAACTATGTTGTGTATCTAAATCATTTGTGTGCACTGCAAGTGAAATCTTTTTCTTTATAACTGAGAAATTCGCAAGGGTCAGTGGTGCATGATGCAAAACACTTTGGCTTGAACCCATGATGTGTGCCTAACACCACAATTCATGTTGCGTTCTAACCACTAGACCAAATCTCCAAGGGCCACTGCAAGTGGAATATCTTTTGAGCAGCAAAACTAGTATACAGATTGACATGAGTCATCTGGGATGATTGCATGCCCACTGTCTAGCAATCTATTATTCAAACAAAATGTTATTTATCTCACAAAGATCATGCAGGCATTATACTTGAGCTTTTAAAGCAGGTATTCTTAAGTGGAAAAAATACATTCTTCTCTGTGTTAATAGTTAGAATGTTTTGGCAGCAAATTCCATTATTCCATATTTGGTAATACCAGCAGTAGTTTGACATGGATTTTTCCCTGTGGTCACAAGATTTGTCTAAGTAAATGAATATCGTCTTTCCTATTAATTTTCCAATTTATCATATTTAGTTTTGCTTTTTTCCAACTAATCTGGTCAATCAATATGTGTGTTGTACCTATGTTTCATTATTTTGATCATTTCGTAGATCTGGCTTTTATTACTATGTGAATCACTGAAAATGACTGGGCTCTGTGTGGATAATGCGATGAGCAAGAGTTGACATGCACTACTCTATACATACATGAGTTGCCACTTACACTTGATAAATGTTTTTCGATATGTCCTAGCACTACTCTAGTACTCTATTCCAACATGAGTTTCCTTGCCTTCTAATTAAAAAAATCCATTGAGAAGACCGAGGTAACATGAAAAAATCACAATTATTGTTGAACACATTTCATACTCAAAGGTGTTCTCTGCTAATGCACTATTTTGTTCAAGCAGATCATAAAGTTTATGGTGAGTCAATGGGCAATCATTTTTCTGATAGCAATAGCCGATAGGGACAGCTTGTAACATGTTACTACTAGTTTATTTGAGTTAGATAGCAGTTGATTACCATATTTGTGGGCAAATTATGTCTATGTGTCGAGACTTCATGGGAGCTTTTGCTAGCTCGGGAAGTAAGTATAGAAATGTCTTGTTTGAGTACCTTTATCACCGACAACTTAAACATGGAGAAAGATTAATCAAATTTCAGACTTAGGCTGCTTTCTTCACAAAAAAACTAAGTCGGATCTTTAGTAATTCTTATGGAGTATTCTTGCTTTTATTACAGATGTTGTTCCATGTTCCTTTTTATCTCTGGTTGCAATGACTAGACTTGTTTTCTCACTATGAAAAGGCTATTGGGTGCCATCTAACTCATTTGTTTATAGCAATTAGGTATATTAGAAAATGTAGTAGCATTCGTCACTTGCAGCATGGTTGTTACCATGTATTGTAGGTCTTTGTCATCTGTTGGTTGGGTCTGCCTTATAATTGGGTACGACTTGGACCAAAAACTTTCAAGTTGTATCAAAATGTGCAAGAATCTGTGACTATTATTTGCCTTCTTGCCTTCGAAGTACTTCTTCACTCATGGTTAATTTTATACACCCACAAGTTGGTAGTATGTGCTGCTTTAGGTGGCTGGTGCCATCTTTTGGCATCAATCAACTAAATCTCATTTGCAAGTTGATAAAGTTTAAAAGATTGACATCTTTGTCCGTGCTTTTTAATGCCATTGGAATTTGACATCACCTGATACTTTAGTGCATGTCCATTTCACATTTCTCTGCATGTTTTGGTTTTCTGTCTTTGCTAAGGATGAAAAGCCATCTCATAAAATCAACAACACGTTTTTATGCTTTAAAGTTAGGCACTTCTGTTTTTTGATTTTATCTGTTTGTCATCGTAAACTTGAGCTAACCTTGACTTCATTTGGTCAGGAATCTGATTATATATATATATATATATATATATATATATATATTTTAAAAAGGTCGGTCATTGATGTCACCTTTTTTATAAAAATAAAATAAAATAAAATTTTACATTCTAAAGGCTATCAAAATCCAGTGAGGAAGATTCACAAAAAAGAAAGAAAACGATGAGCAAGAATATAGGTCCCTTCAGTTAGAAAAAGACGATTATCCACTCAAAAAGTTTCTACAAATACACTTGACGATTATCCACTCAAAAAGTTTGTGCAAATACACTTGACGATTCATTGTGCATGATGCCTAATTATGCCCTTGGAGACGCGTAGCAGAATATTTTGTGGCGCTCAGGCTCAACCCATCTTCAATTACAAGCCTGGATATTTGTACAAAAAGCCAGGATTGATATTTTGACAATGGAACGAATTCAACCAACTTTTTCTTTTCAGAAAAATAAAAAAACAAAAGAAGACGAAAAGCAAATCGTAATCTTACACGTAGACAGGTGCAGATGCTGCCACTTGGCATGATAAAAAATCAATATTTTTAACGTGGAACATAAATATACATATAAAAACTACTATAATATCAAATTTAAATCTATAGTTTACCAAGTATAACTAATACTTTGTCCGTTTCAATTTGTTTATTTGATTGATTTAACATGAAATTTTAAAAAATAAAGAACATTTTTTAATTTTATTGTGTTACACTAGTAAAAATAAACAAATTAAAACGAAGATTGAATTTATCAAATTTTGTAACTAAAGCCATGGCTGAGTTGTGACAGCCATTTAGCGTAGCTGTACAATATACCCATACTGTACTCAAGTGAAGTCCCTTAAAAAAGAAAAAGAATATTCAGAGAGCCGGTCATATAACTCCAAAACTGTACTCAAAGTGAGCGGTACGCCTATATTATTTTAAACCGGTAATTCCCGGTGCCAGTCACTCCTTAACAGTTACAGCTCTGCACAGGACAGATAGGACAAGTCTCGCAAGTGGATTTGTTTATATATATATAAAAACCCTGAATTCTCTGCCGCTGTATAATATTCCTACATTGGAACGATTTGGCTATGGAGGCACCTGAATTCTCACACACATACACCCAGCCAACCGAGGAGACGTCGGAGAAGCTATTCCAGAAGCGGCGTTGCTGTTTTTGCTTTCCGTCGTCGTCTGGAAGCGGCGGCTTGAAATGGTGGCGTAAGGAACAGACTGAACAAGTGAAAGAAGGTTCTGTTTGGGCTAAAGGGATTAACGCTTTAATGAAGCTACGAGAGTGGTCGGAGATTGTAGCGGGACCGAGATGGAAAACTTTTATCCGGCGTTTCAATCGGAACAAAAATGGTGCGCAGGGGAAATTCCAGTACGATCCTCTCAGTTATGCGTTAAACTTCGACGAAGGTAATAATAACGGAGAGGAGGATGAGTACGGGCTCCGGGATTTCTCGACGCGCTACGCTTCAATTCCGGCGTCGGCTAGAGGGTCCTTGGATTTGGGCAGGGATGGACCTAACTTCGTCTGATTGGCCCTTTGAATGCTGCAAAATCCCAATAGCACACAACGAGTTCAGTGGTGGAGAATGGAGATGAATCCTCAGAGCCTACTGCTCATCATGTCTGGTTATTTTTCATTCTTCGTAATGTGTAATTAATTGATATACTAGTACAGTATATTTTAGTATTAGTTTATACAATACATTTCAATTGGCTAATGAGTTGGTCAATTTGTGCATAAATAAAGAAATTGAATGATAAAAGGATGATTAATTGGAGGAACAAGCTAGTTTTGTGGACTACTTTATTATTTGTTGTTGGGAAAATGGTTAAATTTGTCCCTGCACTTTTTTAGATTAACTACGTTTGGTTGGAGGTATTAAATAATTTTTGGATTGTTTATTCCACAATTTTTACCATAATGATAAAATAAGTAAACCTCTCTCATATACATGGTGGGATAACTTACCCCTTCGTTTGGTTGGGAACAAGCTATCTCAGGATTAAGTATCCTGGGATTAACTATTCTGGGATAACTTATCCCACCACCATGTATATGGGATAACTTATCCCATTACTGTGGTATAAATTGTCCTAAACATGGCAACCAAACAAGACACAAAAAATTCATCTCATTACTATTTTCTTATCTCATCCCTATGTACTTTTATCCCTCACACCAAACAACACGAGGTCTACTCATTCTATGTTGGAGCTTCATTACGATAGATGATTTGTTGATGTGTAGTATAACGAATAGACCAAAAATATAATGAAGTAAAATTGAGTAATTTCGAAAAGTAGGAGATATTAAGATCTTTTAGCTTTATAATTCCTTTTTTGTTTGAAGATAAAGATTTAATGGATGAAAACAGTGTTGTTCATTGAATTGCCAATTATACATGGTATGAACGGACAAAAGTGTAATGAAATCAAGAAATATCAAGTGATTTGGAATAGACAAGGATAAATTTGGATCTTTTCGCTTTGTTGGGAGATAAAGCTTTAATGGATTAGAAAAAGACCGCCGTTTATGGAATTATCAATTTTGTAAAGTGGAGATAATCCTTTGCTTTTCCGCTCCTTTCTACTTTGCTTTTTTTGGGGGTTTTTTCTATACTCTGCTAAGCCGTCAACTAGTATTACCCAGATTTTGATTTCTAAATTAAATTATGCCATTCTTTTTAATTGAATTAAAGTAGTCAGATCCTGACAAATTCATTCAAAGAAAATAAGGATAAGGAGTTCCCGGTAAGATATAATTTTTGGAACCTGGGTAAGTGGTGGCCACTTGGCTGTGACATAGGGGACTTACATTTGCTTCTTTGCAGTAATGAAAGAAAAAGACAAATACTAGCTTCAATTATTTTCACACAACCGTTAGAAATGTGCATAAGCTGGTCCGAACATTACTAGCATTAGAAAGAAAAAAAAAAGGGGTCATGCACTAGCTCGGAAGTATTCGAATATCTTGAGGAAATTAAGACTAATTTTGTATGAAGACACCAGCCATGGTTACAAAGCAATAGGTAAGGAATCAGGATTTTATTCACAGTGATCGACAACAGATTGCATGGATAGCACTCCTGACAAGAGAGTTTAAGTTTTACATTAAGCACATGGATTACACATTTTCTTGGATAAGGCAGGATCAAACAACAAAGTTGCTTTCATGGTTGAACACTAGGGGGTGGTTTTTCTGGTATTATGCGATTTTATATTCAGCAAAATGTCACCAACTACCCAGGGAAAGCCCAGACAATTAGCACTTTCGTGGCAGTAACTAGGGTGATAAGTAACATGATACCATGCTGAAGCCAATTTCTGATGATCATCCTCCGTGCAGCAACCAGAGAACCACCCTTTGACCTCCTTGTGTAAGCTTTTGGCAGAAACCAAGATTCGATCTTTTAGTTCAAAGTACCTCCTGTTGTCCCGCTGCAGATACACAGACTTCTGGCGCAAATTGCCTGTCAGTATCTCAACCTCTTTCTCTGCTCCATAGTAGTTGAGTAAGCTGTTCATGCTATCCAAGTACATTTCTTTGTGAGTTTTAGCAGTTTCAATGAAGGCCTCGTAACCTTCAACCAGAAGGTCATGATCATAAGCATCCTGGATAGCTCTATCAGTAGAAAGGTCATCTGAGTTCCTACGAATATAAGACTTGATAACACCACGATAAAGCTTCCCTAGTACCCCTTCAGAAATGTACATGGGTTTGTCCCACCTCTCCATGAAATCGGGGAACTCTCTTGGTTTTAAAAACCTGGGCATCTCAGCTGCAGCTCCAGTTTTTGCAAAGTCCACAGCCATTGAATGAAGGGTTGCTAACTGGAGGCATTTTGAATTCAGAGCTTTATCTGGTTCACGATCTGCATGAACCAAATGTGCAGTAGAGATCGCACCTAGAGTATCGCTAATCATGTAATCAACAAAAAATCTCTGAATTTCCTGCAAAAAATCAGGGAAAGAAAAAAGAGGTTTTCAGAAAAAAATAATTCTTGATTCATGGAAGAAATAGCTCAAGCTACCTCTAGAGTGACTTCATGATCCATTATACGAGGTCTTCTCCCAGTGTAGTCCATGGGTGTCACTGTTTGATGAGGAATGAGACTTTCATCCCAGCATATGAAATAAAGATCTCCATCAAGATCACCACCAGAGCATTCATTTGGATGAGGCCTGCACATGACAATTCAGTACTTTTGAGTACTAAAGAACATTTAATTTCCTTTGAGCAGTACGAAGAAAGTTTTAAAGTTCTAGATTCGAGAACAGTCTTTTTTGATCTATTATTATAGTTGTTATTATTATTATTTTTTCCCTTTGAGGGATTGAGGAGGAGGGGTGTGGAAGTACAATATATATATATAATAAGTTTAGAAAGGGAAAATGTGGAAAGCAGATCTCTGCTCCAAGAAGGCAAGACTAAGCCAACTCTCTCTTCATACCTCTCACACATGCTAAAACTTCATGATTAAATTATTTAAGACAAAAAGACAAGAACCTCTAGCGAAAGAAAATATTATATTTAGTGCAATTACTAGAACTTTTTAATACCTATTACAAGTACTACACCTCAATCCCAAGGTAGTAGGGGTAGGCTATTAGTACTTATCGAAAAACAATTAATTGAACCTATTGGCACTAACCACTTACTTTCAGTCATGTCCTAGTTTTAAGAATCCAAAACTTTGCAAAAAAACTTCTTTATCAGTCTTCATGAAGACCAAGGAAAAGAACAGTATATGGTAGACAAGTCAAATTAAGTAAAATAGTTGGGATATGAAAAGTTCCACAGAATATCGTGTACTGAATATTTTCTGCTCAAATATCATATATATGTAACAGTTAAACTCTACCTTTCTCCATTCTGAGGAAAAATAATGCAATCCACCCAGGTCTTCTCCTCTAATGTCACCTCATACACAGCCTCAAGTACTCTTACATCTCCAGGATGAAGACAAGGATTTTTTGTGACTACAACCTTACCTCTTACTACTGCAGTTGTTTCATCCACCTTCTGGAAGAAATTTTGCTGACCATTTTGTAGCTCAGCCTTAGTCATGGTTATTCGTACATAAACCTGGCCATACTTCAATATACCTGTTTCATCTAGGCATCCTACTAGAATTCGACCTTTTGGAATGAATATACGACACCTACTTCTTAGGTCTGAAATCTGATTCTCAAAATGTGACTGAAGCATCATCGAGAGATAAGGCTCCCGATTGGGTGCGTATCCTTGGAGCAACATCCTCATTAAGATTTTTTTTACGTCACCACCACCCATGCTCTCCAAAACATCTAAAGCTGCCTCATTAGTGGTCAACATCTTGCCCAGAAGACGAAGATGATTATCTAGCAGATCTTCTAAAGCTTTATCCTCAACTCCCAAAGTAGATAAAAGGATAACAATCTCCCGATTCAGATAGCAAGGCATTGCATCACTCCACTTGGTAATATTAAGCATCCTGTTCTTTGATTCAAATTTGAGCATACTGCCACGAAGAGATAGCTTTCGAAAGGAATTGCGGTCAACAGCTATCACACCTTTATAACCACCATATCTTATTTGAAATGCTGATGGGGTATGATTCAATCCACATTTCTGAGCAACTTGTCTGGCAAAAGCTTGGGAAATCTTTCCAATACCATCTGAGAAGCAATAACTAACACCATCAGAGGTCACTTCAATATCTGGAAGAATCTCAACATGCTGCAATTGAACCTCCATTGTTTGAACAGAGGTGCTAAATAATTGACCCATCCTTGCAGCGCATTTCGAGATACTACGAATCTTGTTGAAGCACCCCATCCACTCTCTGATATCTTCTGCCTTGACATATTCATTAGAAGCAAACATCCAAACTGAATTTGAGCGAAGCTGACTGGCCGAGAATGCCAGGAAAAAGAATCTTTTAGTTCCAATAACAATTCCTTCTCGAAGGATAGACAAGATCCGATGATAGATTTTAGTTCTGTAAGGCTTTGCAAAGATACCTTGTTCAACACTCATAGAAACGGCATTAGGAAAAAGTTTACCCCAATCCTCCTCTACAAAAGTTACTCTCAAGAAATCAGAAGCATGTTCTGCAAAGTTCTTCACAATGTAATTGGAGGTTTCAAGCTCTGGACCCAGGCAGTAAATCTTTGATGGTGTTACCAAGACTCTGTGAACACTCATCATGCTATGATTCACTAACCTGCTGTAAGATGATGAAAGCTGGTTCTTATTGTTTTTACCCAAAACATGCAAGCGTGTCTTGATGAATGTCAAGGGCTCGAAACAGGTTGACTGCAACTTATGCATTTTCTGAAGGATCATCATTGCAGTGTCCAATTCTAATTTGCTAAGAACTTCGATGAGATCTGGATTAACAGCACCAAGACTAATTTTTTGAGTCTGTACGAGGGAATTAAGCTGGAAAAGGATTTCATAAGGTAGCTTCAGATCTGATGGGATCCTCACAAGGGGAACAAATTCAGAACCAGAATAAATATCTCCTACTTTATCCAGATCTAGATCTATCACATCCTTGTT